CCCTATATCTTTGGGTGGCCAACATGCAAGTGAGGCATTGGAATGGGGTTGGTTGTGAAATGTGTGCATGTGGTGGGGTCCCACTAGGTACAGCTGTGGTTGCACATCAAAGCTGTACTGTATGCATTGCACAGGTGGTGGACACTGAGTGAGGATACCTGTGCAATTGGAGAGCTGCAAATGGAGCTCCCAGCTCATGTGTTGGCACTGAATGTTTAGAATGAAGTATGTTTGTGGATGCTTTTTTGTGCAATGTGTTTGTGAATGCTGCTATGTTATTGTTATATATGTGCTTCAAGCATAGTATGGTTAGTAGATACTGAGGATTTGCTTAGCACATACCAACACCAGCCATACAACACAAACATCCACCACAATCAAACATCCCACATGGCAAACAAGCTAAACCAACCACACAAAGGCAAGCAACAAATCAAAAGCTAACACAACAAGCCACACCCAACCTTGTTGGCAGGTTGTAGCTAAGAATGTGTTTTGCTGTGGTTCCATGGCATTAGTGCCAGCTGATGAGGCTGGTGGTGCTGAGGAAAGCCCCTCACAGAAACCAGTCCTGTTGACTTTGGATGATGACAGGGTCCTAACAGGCCTGGTTAAAGAGGAAGCAATACAATGGGAATGGTCAAGGCCTGTTCAGGCCATTGGCATGCAAACAGACAAAGAGCATTTGTACTTGAAAAGAAATGTAGAGCACTTTCAGAAAGAATTCATATTTAGTGAGATTCCATGGGGTGAGCTGCATTACAGGGGCAAAGGTGCAGCTGATGCTGAGTTGCATCACACCATGTCCAGCAGAGCACTTGTGCTTATGGTTGCTTTGGTCAGCCTCAACAGAAGATTTGCAGTAGATGTCAAAAGGCGCAGCATTGCACTCTTGTGCAGTGTGCTCAGAAAGGCATGCATGGCAATAGTTGGTGTGCAAATGTTCATTGGCACCATTTTTTGGTGATGATGGACAGTGGCACCAAGGTGAGTTGAACTTCAATTGCAATGATGTTACCAATGATTTGCACAACCTATTGGCCCACAATGCAAATGCATTGGCAGTGTGGGAATCACTTACAAAGAGTGCTTGGTGTCAATGCAACATACAGTCTCACATATCTTGTGCCACATTGTGGGGTGTGATGTTGTTTTGCTTGTGGTGCAAAGCAAACATGCAACACAAGAAGGTATGGCAATTGTGTGCACAGCACTTGTGGCCAAAGCTGGTCAATTTTGCAGGAAAGGTATTGGAACAAGCTGGTTTGCAATCATGTGACAAGGGCCTAAAGCCAGTGCCCCTGCTGAAGTCCAAGAAGGGCCATAGCAGGAGAGTACCTTTTGTCAACAAGTACATACTTTTACACAAGTGCAAGAAGGCCAAAAGACATAGACAAGCTGCCATGCAAACACATGCAGATTTAGTGCCAAACCAGGCAGACATTGTTTCACAGGAGGACATGATGGAGGCTGCACTGTACATCAAAAGGGCACAAGAGGCCTATGCAGGTTGCAATCACTTTGCCATTTCTTGGGATCCAAGCAACTATGATTGTGAGACCATGGTGGCAATTTTGTATTCCTGCCAAAATGGTGTGGCAGCATACTGTCCAATACAAAACATGAGTCCTGTCTTGACCAGTGAAGTGGATGAGGAAATCAGAAAACTATCAGCTGTAAATGCTTTGACCAGAATTGATGGGTACAATGAAATTCGTGCCCTCTCACATGCTCTCTCAGCCTATGCCATGCCTCTGGAGAAGTTTGTCCTTCCAAAGGATATTTTGTGGAGACCCCTAACCAGCAGCCAGGAAAGAGTGTGGATCCAGGGGAAGCCTCATGTCTGGGACAAGGAATGTGGTTGGAAAAGACCTCAATTTCCTGAAACTTACCATGTGAAGGATTTGCCACTCCTGATCAGTATCTCTGATCAGGGTGGCATAAACAGAGCAGGGTTGGACTATTGCACCTTCAAGATTGGCTTGGCAATGTTGCCCCTATGGGACCCATATCATCGCACTTGGAATGATGTAAAAAGTGGACTCAAGGCCACAGCAAGCCTGTGGAAAGCATTCCTAAGTTTTGCACTATTTTTCAACACCAATTATGGCCCAGCTGGAAGCAAGACATTTTTTTGCCAAGAAACAAGCCCTCATGGCAGAATTTATGGCTAGCAGATCAGCCCATGCAGACCCATTCCTTGCATATCTCCCCTACATTCAGGCAGAAAGAGGACAGCCTGAACCAGAGGACAACTTGGGGAGAGAGAGTGTGTTCAACTCACTTCCCAACATGAATGGGTTCTGTGCACTTGGTCCTTTGACCAAGCTGATGCGTTGGTGGTCATGGTTCCAGTGTGAGGACTGGCATCAAGGTGAATGCATGGCAAGCAAAATGGTCATGCTGGACAACTTGCTTCCACAGCAAGGCTGTGACTTCATCCCAGAGGTGGCTGCTGTCAAAATTCCTAACAGTGCATCAGCAAAGAAAGAGTTGACAGCCCTCAAAATGCAGCATGGAACTTTTAAGCTGGCTGCAATGCTCATCACACCAGCATCTCTTTTTCAGAAGGATTTGATTGCAGAAGTATGCAGGCCAATTTGGACCAAGCATTCCCAGAGGGTTCAGACTGTTTTGACACCCAAACAGGTCATGGACCACACAGTGTTTATGGCAGGGGGTGGATGGAAAGAGGAGTTGGTGGACATTGTGAAATGGGGGGCTTTGCAACCACCAGGTATTCAGGAAACTCTACCCAGATGGGTGCACCACTCCTGAAGGGGCAACTGATGAGTACAAAGACTTGGTGTCTGGGAGGTTGAGGGTCCACATCCAGTTTGTCCTGACACTGCTGGAGAAGAGGGGTAGCAGCCTTGCAGCAACCTTTTTGAGACCACCAGTCAGATATGCACAGCTGATGGTGCCAAACTGCAGGCAAGACACCCTTTCAGCAATGTTGAATGATTGGAAAAAACTGCTGGGATTGGAGGAGAAGTATGCACATGGCAGCAGTATGAAGGCCTTGGAAGCTGTTCACTGCCTCCAAAATTGCTGGGTGAGGCTTTTGTTTCTTGTGGGTGAAAGAGACCATTTGTGCAAGGGCCTTGAGGCTGTGGAGCTAATGCGAGCAACATTGGAGCACATGGGGGGACACACAATGTGTGGAGAACACACATCAGGCAGCTAAAGACTGTTTGAGGGATGCTCGCCACAATGTGCGCAGCAGGGTCCATAAAATGAGTGCTGTCATTGGGAGCTCTGTTTTCAAGACCAGGAAAGTGCAGCACATTTCTGTGTCCATTTCAGACAAAGCAGAGGCCAAACTCAGACAGCTCCCCAAGATCATACCAATGACACATCCTTCTAGCCACAAGGTCCAGAAACAGTTCCATCAAATGATGAGACACAAGGGCAAAGATCATTGGTGGCCTTCTACCAGTGCAGTTTCCCAATACCATGAAGTCACAAGTTTTGAGTGGCTGATGCAAGATGCTGCATACCTTTCCAGAGTTGGATATGATAGTGCCTGCCTCACCTGCTTGCTTTCAAATGGTTCTTGTGTGGCCTCACAGGACCATCAAGCTGTGTACCTCACCATCTCAGTGGGCTTTTGTGGGTTTTTTGGGCTGGGCAATGGAGGCCTTGCCAGGCAAACCAGGAGATGAGTTTCCTTCCTTCAAGGTCATCCCTCAACCTGGTGCACTTGTGTTCAGGCATGTGGACTCCCTTGAGAAGTGGATTGATATCCCAGTCAAGGGATCAGTCCAGGCAGACTTTGGTCCCATTATTTTTGCACAGGTTGCCAAAGCAAGGCAGCTACCTGTGGCCAGGATTCAAGAAGGCCTCAGCCTCACAGTTGCTCAGGCCAAGCATGTGTTGAGCCACCTCAATGTCCACCTCCCTGGGCAACCTAGCAGGCCCCAAGTGTACAGGGCTTTAATAGAGATCTTTGTCCATGATGAGGAGGGCAGGGAAGCAGCCATGGCCAGATCCAAGGCCAACACTGCCCAGGCCCCTGAAGAGGATGAGCTTGATGAAGGGTATGAAGAGTTGTTGGATTTAGTTGAGGATGCTCTGAACCAAGGGGACCCTGATTTGAGACAGGAGAAGGAGAAAATGAAAAAAAAGAAGTACCAAAGCACTTTGAAGGAAGATCCTGACAGCACTCTTCTCCAAGCACCCAGAGGGAGAGGGAGAGGGAGAGGAAGAGGAAGAGCAAGAGGGAGTGATCAGAGCAAAGCAAAGGGCAGAGGGAGAGGGAGAGGCAGACCCAAGGGGACACTAGCAAAAGCATTAGCAAAGAGAAAAGCAATTCCCAGTGCAGATGAACCACAACCAAAGCAAGCCAAAACAGAGCCAGCTGCAGAAGCATCTGGTGAACCAGCAGCAGAAATTGGCAGTGACAGTGACAGCCATTCCCAGGCAAGCCAAGTTCATGATGAACATAGCACAAAAGCAAACAAGATGGAACTACAGTCACAGCAAGAGACAGCAGCATCTTTGGATCTAAAGGCAGGACATGTAGAGCAACACAATGCAGATAGGAAAGTAGAGGTGGCACAGGCTGAGCAACCAAGTTCTCCCAACCAAGAGGTAGCACAGGCTGAGCACCCAAGTTC